CTAACGCTCGGCAGAGATCCGAGACAGTTTGTCTTTTTTTTTGCTCGATTTTCTTGGTTATACTCCCGGAGGCACACGACGCAACGGGAGGCTGGACTCTGTTTTCTTTTCTGGGCTGGTTCGGTTGTGGAAAGATACCCCCCTCTTCCCTTGGTTGGCATGCATGGGCTCGCGACGGACCGCGTTGCCCGGGTTCTTGGGTCATTTTCGGGTTTCCTTTTCTTGTCTCATGGATGCATGGTTACGGCTCTAATGACGGATATACCCCCCCCTACGCCCTAATCACCAACCTCGACCGCCACCTCCTCGACGGTTCTCCTTTTTTCTCTCCCTAATGCCGGAAATCGCCGGTCTCGCCAACGCCACTCCGACTTGATGTCGGGCTCGCGCACACGAACCACCTTTCTTCGACAGGAAACCAAAAAGAGAACCGACGGGGGACGGAAAGGAGGAAGGGAAAGGGAAAGGGAAGGATATCCGCTTCGCCTGCAAGAGAGGGGGGGGGGGGAACAACAAGGCCCGTCGCGTCGGGACTGCGTCCCGGCCGGGGTCTTGCTCCCCCCTCCGTCCTCGGCGGCGATGGCCGGCAACCATGACATCTAGCCTCGCGCGGCAGGCCTGGAGCCGAGGCAGACACTGGCTGTCGACAAGAAAGGGGAGGAGGAGCCCGGGCCCAAGGAGGGGAGGCATGCAGAAGGACGATTGATGGGGATGAAGGGACGAAGGGATGATCGGGGCGCGCGCGCCGCTGCTGGGCATGCGGCCGCACACACACACAAACACACAAGAAATATAACCGCGTCGAAACGCTGAACTCAAACCTTGCCACCGCGCGCGTTCTCTCTCTGGCGATGGGTACGATGACGGGACGGCACCGCGACCGGTTTGAACGGCTGATGCACGAACCGAGCGCCGGAGGGGGGGGGGTGGACGGGACCGGAGGGGGGAAGGAAGGAAGGACATCAGGACGAGATTACCGTTGCAGACGCGAGCTTTTCCCGTCTGTCGGTACAGCAACACCCCCCGAGACTACCTGCTAGCCGGGCGCTCTCACTCAAGGGGGATTCGTTTGTCTGTACCGGCCGGGAAAAGACTTGGACCTTTGCAGTTCGGGTCAAGGTTTTCTGGCGTCGCTCTTTTCTTCCTCCCCTCGGCCCCAGGAGTTCAGCGTCGCGGGTTAGGTGGGACGACTCTGTCCTGGTTGACAGGGTTGTTGTGGGGGGAGGGAGAAGGGGGGGAAGTGTTTACTTTGTCACCACATACCAACCAAGCCTGTCCATCTATTTGTCAGAGGCAATAGGTAGTTATCTTAATTGGGCACGAAAATGGAAACTGTCAATATCACTTTTTCTGCTCTGCTCTGCCTGTATGTCTGTCTCTAGTGACCCCCGCGATGGGGGTTGGAAAGGAGGACACGGCGGCTGGACGCGGTGTAAGTCGAACGAGCGCTGGTTCATCGTGGTGATGATGTGGTTTTTAGGCTTGTGAGACAATGTACGTAATTCCTGGCATGTCACTGCAGTATCATCTATCCAAGAGGAGGGAGGGTTACACGGCGGGTACGACAGTTGGCTCGCTCGGGATATATTTTTCAAGGTCTTTCTTTCTCTGGTCGTTACCATCACGATGTTCAAGTCAAGGAAGGGGGGTGTGTCAAGAACCCAGGAATACCATGGACGCGGCACGGCACGGCATGACCTGCCCCCCTTCAGCTGCTGCGGCTTCAGCTGAGAGGAGCAAGTGGTAAAGTGAAGGCGAGGAAGGGCGAGTTTACCCGCTGCAGGGCAATTTATCTCGTTGCTCTGTCGGGTGCTGGGCGTGCTATAAATTTGTCGATCGCGCCGGTGTCTGAGGGTGTGAGGGGGTTTCTGGGAGCGTAGGTGGCATGTGAAAACAGGGCTTCCCGCGTTGCGTGCTGCGGTGTGTGGTATAAGTTGTAGATGGGGGGTGGTGCGATGTCGGGGCTGAGATCACGACATGACGGCATCTTGGGGGGAGATGTTGTTGAGAACAACCTCGTGTCTATTTGCATCTGGGGTGTATCGCATAGGCGAGACCGGATGGATTCAGGGAATTGTGCATACGTGTTAGATTGCCTGGTCTGCTGTATCCGTAAAGAGGCGATGTTTCCATCTCAACTCCAGGTGTTCACCACATCCACGCTGGAGAAGATGGATGTCGTGTTGACGTCCCCGAGAGGCCCCCAAAATCGCATGGCCCAGGGGCTTGACCGCCGACAAGGGCCCCTGTAAACTCTTTCGGAACCTGGCCAGTGGGATTTACGGGGGTTGATCGCCTTGAACCTTCCAGGGGTGTTTTCGGGACGCACCGACGTTCGATCGGAGCCGGGGGAGGGGAGGCTGGGCTAGGGCGATCAGTGCGGTTCAACGGTGAGTCTGGAGAGGAAGTCGTTTCCCGCACAAGATTTTGGAATTGACGGATTGATTGCAAAAGTGATGACGCAGAAACCAAAGACGAGAAAAGAATACGACACCGGCATCGCGACACTGCATCCGGGCGCTTCGAGCTTCCAAGCCCGCCGACCGACGATAAGAAGAACATGGACACGGGACGGTATCGGATCTCTCTCTCCGTACTGCGTACACCGCAAAATCCCATCTCGCCTCACACCACACACAAACGGGGGAAAAACAACTTGTGCCGTCAAAATCCGCCACCACCAAGGTGTGCGGTGTCGGCAGGGCGCGGGGCGACGCACAGCAGCGGCTGAGCCGGGCGGGCAGCCCTTCTTCCACCCCCCCCCCGACCCCGCCCGCCACACCATTTCCAGAAATCCACAACTGTCAACGGCCGAGACATGGTCGTGGCGTGCATGTGCCGGCTCACGTCGGTATTGGCTCGAATACGGGCGTGAAACGAAACGGACGGCATGAGGGTAAACGGGGCTAGCTGGGTTGGGGTAGTGTCTAGGTAGGTACCAACGACGACGATGAGGATGCGGGTGTTGGTGTTGGTCAGCTTTGGTACTATACTGCTACGTATCAACATACTCTTACTTGCGTATGCTTACTGTGTATGCCTACGATGCAGCAGAGGCTCCTCGAAATGGCAAAGCTGCCCAGGTGGTGGCTGAGGTCAGCGAGTCCAACAGCCCCTTTCCCCTTTCTCTCGACTCATCACCGACGGGAGGAATATGAAGTACCAAGGCGAAACACCAACGACCTATTAACCATTAATTTCTGGGGGGTTTTTTTTTTGAGGACGAAGGGTAGACTTCATGAAATCCACCCAGCCCGGCGGCATCGCGTGCATGCGCCGTCTGCCTTGCCCATTCTCTGCGCAGACCACTCCTGACGACATATACCATTGCGCCGTGCCTCCCCCAGCTCGACGCGCGCAAGATGCATGGGAAGTGGACCGAATCAGGCGTGCAGCTGTCCAACACCGGGCTGTGTCATGAGGGTTGTCTGTGGGCTTCAGGAGTCGAGCATCCTCTTCACCTCGCCATCCTCCCCGTTGACAGGTCGGTGGGAATTCAGACATCCCCGCAATGGGTATATATGTTAGAGGGGCGAGGGCATCGCAGGAAAAGAATTGGTTTCCGCCCTGCTGGGTGGGAAGCCTTTCGATGTTTCATCTTCTTCCCTCAAGGCAGACTGTCAGACCTTCGGGTGGTTACTCTCAGCCAGCCCGACACTCCTACGAAGCACTCTTTTGGTCAACGGCTACTTCGACGGCACCTGGTCTCATAGGTCAACCTACGCTGACCGAGAAGCAGCATTCGAGATCTCCAGAACAATCTTGGACTCCGACGGCATGCATCACCTTCGGGGCTGAGAGCGTACCTGCCCGTTCAGCTCTCTAATTCCTCGATGGCCACGCGACATGAGCTGTCACGTCAAGTTCCGGCTGCGTGGCAGACAGGGCCATCTCCCTGTCTTTTCCACCAGTAGGGCATGGTCAGCGACTTGCTGCCGTATACGCAAGTACTTCAGATTCGGGATCATCTCGCCGCAGTCGAGACGGTCCCAACACATATCATCCTCCAATCGACCACCACTGCATGGCCAGATTCAACATGCTTGCGCAGACAGTCAGTTCCCCCGTGCTGACAGCATAAACAACATGAAAAGACGATTTCAACCAGCAGTGACAACCACCACCCAGCATGATGTCAAACAAGGCAACCGACCGACCGGTGGCAGCCCCTTCCGGCCCTATACCATCTGTCCCACAAGAACCCCCCTTCCCCACGCAGACACAGGCCCAGCTCCGTACCACAACATCAACCCAGTCCCCAACATACACCTAAGCGAGGTACATATCTAGGCACTTACCAGTTCGTTCCACGACCCTTCTGCAGGCACGGAGCAACCCCCATCCTCCGTCCCCGATCCCGCATGATCTACCTCTTCCCCCCTGCCTTGGGACAATCCCCCGAACCACCACCACCAAATCCCTAGCGCGTGTGCCGGGCAACGCAGACAGACGTGGTCTTCTTTCGGCCGTGTCGGGGTTTGGCGTACATACACGGCATCGGAGAGGATCTCACCGTGTGTCCCTGAACTCCCCCTCCGTATATGACGGAGCTTCCATTCCCGTGCCGCCGGGTCTAGAACACCCCGGGATGGTCTGTCTTCCTCGGTGAGAGGATGACGTTCTCGGTTCAAGCGTGTGTGACGTCGGGATGGGCGCGCTTCGTACCTGCCGTTGGCATGGGGGCATGGGGAGCCATGTGATCTTCTCCATCACGACGACGGGCCGGTCCGTGTTGGTGATTGCAAGGGTTTGTTGCAGGGGGTAGAAATCGAGGGTTGGCTGGCTGGGTTTTGTGCATTTCAACGTCCAGCCCTTGACCGACAGCCAGCGTTCTCATCCGTGACGAGAAGCAGACTTTCTCCTTCTTCATTTCGCGCTATCGTCGTTCTCCTTCATCGCCTCTGTACGCCTCCGAGTGGCCCATGTTCTCTCCAAAAATGAGGCAAGTTTCTCCTCGGAGAGGGGCAAAAAAATGAAGCCATCACAACCAGGCATTGTTCTGCAACTTACCCGGATCGAACGGGTGACCTTCAGATCACAGATCCCTGCCTCCACAAGGAGGGACAGGAATGATGTGCAAGACGAAGTGTACTTCAGTCTGACGCTCTCCCAACTGAGCTAAAGTTGCTTCTTATTCATGTCCTGTCCTTGCTGTTTTCGGGCCCTGAGACCCCCGGCTCTTCGCCGGCTCGGTCAAAACAACATCCCCTGCCTTCAGAGGTGCAAAAATGAAGCCATCTCTGGCAGTCGATGATGTGCAACTTACCCGGATCGAACGGGTGACCTTCAGATTGCAATTGTCGGGGACAATGCTGGATGAAGTGGACTTCAGTCTGACGCTCTCCCAACTGAGCTAAAGTTGCTGTGTTGCTTGTTGATGTCCATGGCTGCTGGTATCACGGCACAAGGAGGGGGATGGTCAGTGTCCCTGTGAAAAGTTTTCAACACCCCATTATGACTGGGAGACAAAAATGACACCAGACAGATACTGTCCTGATAGGTATTGCAACTTACCCGGATCGAACGGGTGACCTTTAGATATCAATCTCTTACGAGGCTTGACGAAGAATGAAGTGGATGCTTCAGTCTAACGCTCTCCCAACTGAGCTAAAGTTGCTGGTGGTGGTTTTTGATGGTGCATTGTGCGGGTAAGGGTTTTCAGAAAGGGGGGCGGTGGGGACGTAGTGCATTTTTCCATACCCACAACACATGGCATCCACCCTCCTCACTTGTGCCTATTGCCATGACCACAACATTCGCGATCACCAGGTAGACGTGGAGAGTCAAGGGCATTCGGCTCAAACAACTACTTGCGCTGGCTGCTTGACAAAAGTCCCATCTCGTAATAACTCGCTTTCCTTGCCTCCTTCTCACGGCAAATGTATCTCCCTCTCTCCCTCACCGATAAGCAAAATCAACCACGTTCACTCCCAACTTCCAAAGAGTCTTCATCGGAAGGGCGCCCTCCTAGAGGCGAGGCTGGCCAACCTCCTTCTTCTTGCGCTCCTTCTCTTCCCGCTCCTTCTCTTTCCGCTCCTCCCTCTCGCGCACCTAGCGCGGGCCCAGATGCCTCCCCGGTCCATTCACGATGCCTGGCTTCTCGACGCCCTTCTGCTTGGTAATGCTGAAAAAGTCCTCGAGCCCCTTGACGACGACGTCCACATTCATGTTGATCTGCGGCATCTTGTCGTACGAGCCGTCCTTCATGACGGCGACGAGGGCCAGGAACCGGTCCACCTCGCGCAGCATGATAGGCCGCTGCGACTCGGACAGGATCATGGCGGCCTCGGCACGCTCGCACGCGACCTGGTCCTCGATCGGCTGGGCCCAGGGCTCGCCCTCGAGGCGGTCGCGCCACGGCTGCGTGCGCGGCCAGCTGCCGTAGACCTCGGTGAAGTCTATGATGACGTCGACAAAGTCACAGCAGATCTCGTAGCTCGACATGTCCTCGGGGGTGTTGTCGGTGGCGATGTAGATCTTGGTGTTGACGTCAAAGAGGTATGCCTTTTCGAATCGGCAGGTGCGGCACAGATTGGTGAGCATGGCTTCCAGCTGTCCGAGGCGCGGGATGAGCTTCTGGATCACCTTGCTGAACGCCTCAAAGATGCTGTGGTCGTAGATGCTGGTCAGGTGGAAGTTGACGGGGGCGTTGTCAATGCCCTGGTCCGACAGCTCGTCCTGGATCTGTATCGTGATATTCCGCTGAATGTCGAACTTGTAATCATCGCTGATGCTATCAACCTTGTGAATAAACACTTCGATGTTGATCTGCGGGTAGCTTCGCTGGAGATTCAGGATGGTATGGTGGAGGCGCGCTACCGACTCCGTGTAGTCATCCTGAGCATCAATGACCCAGATCAGAGCGCCAATCTCGCCAAAGATGGCATCGATATCAAAGGTGACGTTGGAGTTCTCAAAGATCTCAATCTGACCAGGAAAGTCCCAGATCTGCACGTCCATAAAGGAACTTGGACCATCAGCCAAAGTAACGTGAGAAGACAAGAGTTGTGACATACCTCAGGCTATCCTTCTGGATCCTGGCCGTAGACTCGATGAACAACGTCTCGTTGGGTGGGAGTTTGTGAAATACCACACTGGCGATGGAGGATTTGCCGCTCCTTGGGGCGCGTCAGCACATGAATCGCAAGATCAGGAAAAGGTCATACCTTCTCTGCCCCATCAGCAGAAGGCGAGGCGCTCCCTTCCCAGGCTGCGGCTGCTGCGCTGCGGGGTCAGGCATGGTGCCCGGATCCTTCTGTTGAAGGCGCTGGCGGTTCTGTTCGTAGACACGTTGGAGATTTAGTACTGCTGGACTGATTTTTGTAACGGAAACATGGTCAAGAGGGGCGTCGCCGGGGTCCGCAGCCGCCCCGGTCCGGAGGCCGCTGCCCTGCAAAAAAGCGGACATGGGAAAGGAACTGTCGGCGCAGCAACGGCGGATGGTTCCGGAAGCAGGTGACAGACCCGCCGAGGCTCGGCGACGGCGACGTCAATCGTCGTGGGATCTCGTCTTATAAACGGTTTCGCCAGCCCCTGGCACGCTAGCGCCCCATGGAAGCAGCAACCCGCAGACGGGCCGTTATCTTTTTAATCCGTTTGCGACGTGGGGATAGCTTCTAGATACAAGCCAACGGGGATTCGAGAAAGCCAGACATGAGGAAAAGCAGGGGAACTCGAGCGAGACAAGGGCTGAGATGGGTTGCGGTTCGACGCATACGCCTTGGTCGAGTCCAATGCGGCCAGGTGACGACCATCGACCAACCCTCGGCAAGTGTTCATCATCGCCCAATATCGCCATGCCGTCCATCATACCACCGAGGGCCTTCTCGTTCATCTCACCATGGCCCATTCAGCCCAGGCGTGACATGATCCCGTCTCTGCCGCGGGAGGCGAGGCGGTCAAGATATCACGACGTCCATCCAAAGCGCAGCAGCGGCGGGTGGTGATACAAGATGTGTCCCGGGACCGTGGCAGCGTGGCTCAGCACTCGACCAGGCCCAAGGCGGCGAATGAGTCAACCAAGGCTGTCGACGATGACCTCGCCAAAGACACGATCATCGCCTGCCTGCCTGGGCTAGTTGGGGTGACACTTGCCCCGGCCGCTGACCATAGAAGGGGCTCTCCTTACGGGCGAACTCGCCCCAGCTTGGGGACTGGTTGGAGAGAACTCGGGCCTGTGGAACTCCACAACTGGCCATGATGCTGCGGCTCCGCGATCCGGGGTCAGGACGGACGGAAAGCCCCGCGCCGCATTCACCCCAACCCCCGTCGGGAGAGGAATGAAATTATGGGTGGGTTTGAAGATGAGAATAGACTATGAGGGAACGAGAGAAATCCGTTTGCTCACCTCCATCTTGGCTGGCTATCTGGACAAGAGCCCAAGCGCTCCCTCATAGACCGGCACCAACACCATGCGGCCCCTGATCGGGCTGGGACTCGATGTCTGTCGTCGGGGTGGTGTGGGAAAGAAGCTGGTCGGGACTCGGAACAGCGAATGAGAGGTTTCTTTCAACGTCAGCCCGTCGTAGAGGTTGTCGCCAATTGGCCGTCGAGGGTGTTTATTCGCTGTGTATTCAGTTCTGGGGTGGCTATCCAATTGACAGTATGTCGATATGGAAATGATCTTGTACTGGAGATGATGGTGTCCTTTGTCTGGGGGTTGATGGATGTGCGACAGCGACACAAGACGAAACTCGATGAGATGTCCGATGTGCTGCGACCGGTCTGCGGTAGCCTAAGCTGTTCGAGGATCCTTTCAGATACTAAGTTGTGATGTACGAGATGATATCAGGGAGAAAGCGGTGCCGGGATTGGTGAGTGTCGTCGGCATGCGTGGTGACGGTGATCAAGGTGAGGTTGTCACGGCTAGACCATGGAGGTGGGGTGGAAACAAGCAGCAAACAGTGGACAGCACAGAGGACGGCTCACTGAAGAACTGCAATTTGATGACGTAATCATCATACCCTAACCCTGCATCTGTCGACGACAACCCCTATTCCTCGACATTCACCAACAACATGCTCCGAAAAGGAGTTCACCCTTGATAATTTATTGGGACCTCTGAGTGGGAGCCAGTCTTGGGAAGCCATCAGTACATTTCATGATTCGGGACCATATTATTTGCAGTAAAATGCATTCATTACCCAACTCCCTCGCCTCTCCCGAGTCTTCCCCGGAAGTACAAAATCCGCCTCCTTGCCTTCAGTGTATTCACTATGCTCCCTATGCGCCTTTACACCCGAGACCTTCCTGACAATACTCTGGTTTTCCTTCCGCATCTATTCAGCTGATATGCTATGCAGACACCCATGTGCCCCTCCTCCAGGCTCCGTCTAACCCTTGATCGCCGCCAACCTGGGGTTGTACTCTGACTTGGAATTCGACCTGCTAAAGATAGTGGCGACAAAGCTCCTCTTCTTCCTTGCCTTTTTGTCCCCTTGGCTCTGCGGCGGAACGTTTTCATCTGCCAACCCGGCCATCTCCATCCTCGGCGGCAGTGCTGGCGATGCCGGGATGGCAGGGAGTGTGTCGTCGGCGCTAGCGGGGGGTGTAAGCTCCGTCGTCACGACCTCAACCCCAGTTGGAGGACGGAAACTCGAAAAGGACTGCCACAGTTAGTCTTGAAAATTCCGACCAAAAGTGCTGGGAACCAACCTTGACACTAAGCTTCCTGTGCGATCTCGTCTTCTTTGGGATCGACTCGACAGCCGTACTCTCTCCGTCCGTCTCCACGGCCGCCTTCTTGGCACCCAACGCCCTCTCCAACTCATCAATCTCCCCGGCCATTGTCTTTCCCCGGTGCGCCATGTCCTCCTCCCTCGTCGGGACGAAGCGCACATAGCCGCGGTCCGCGCCGACCCCGAGCGACTCCTTCATGTGCCGCTGTATCAATGCCGCATTGCGCTTGTTGGTGGTCGGCAGGAGCTGAGACGGGAGCGCAAAGATTGACAGTACATAGGCCGCGTCAAACGAACCCCCGAACAGCATGCAGGCGCCGTGGTTCACCGTCACCACAATCGACGAAACGGGCCTCTGGTATCGAGTTGACAGGTGATACGACAGCTCCGTGATGAAGGTGAACTCGTCGCCAATCTGCGCCCGTCTGTTAGCCACCCATCCATCAACTCCCAGCACACAAGGACACATACGATGACATTCGTCTTGACCTCGGCCATGACAATCGCATCCCCCCTGACCCGCTCCTTGGCCGGGCTGTGGTCGTTAACCGCAAACGCCTCCTCGAAGAAATTGATGTTGCTCCTCTTCCTGGCCAGGTCCGGCTTCGATCCGGTCCTACTCTTCCGTCGCATCACATCGCCAGGAAGCGGTCGGTCAATGTGGCGGAGGAGGTCGCTTCCCTCGACGACCGTCATCGCCGCGGGCTTTTCACTGCGCATCTTCCTCTCCGAGAACGAGAGCTTGGCAGGGACGGCGGAGCGCGGCGCGCTGTTGGGGTTCGAGAGCCTGCCGGCCATGGCCGGAGTCAGCGGGCGACTCATGCCGGCTTCGCGATGGGTGGCGTCCTGCGTGGTCGAAACGGCTGTCGGTCTCGACGCGATTGTCCGTCCCTTTGGCAGTCAAAATGAGAGAGGTGGCTTTTCCGCGTCTCTGAGTCTG